TTTTTTTTTTTTAATCGGTAAAGGAATCAACAACGTTTAACAAAAAACAGCACAGAAAACATCACCCCTTGTCAAAGTGGTTCTACTTGCAGATGATTAGATCTTTAATTCCTTGGGACTGAAGCTTGAACTTTCCACCCGCCAACACAATCACCCCTTGTCAGGCACAATTCGGACCGCTGTCACCTAAGCCGGCGATGTTTTGTGGTTTTCAGTGTTTAATTTTTCGACCACTTCGACAACTCCAGCATCCCAACCACTTGGCAAAAATAAACTCCTCACACATGAAAGAAACTCTGACAAAAAAGGGATTTAAGAAACAAAACAACAGGGCCATCTGCCTAGCGCAGTTGGTGGAGCATGTAAGTGGTTTTCAGGAGGTCGTGGGTTTGATTTCCCACATCGTCCTTCGACTCCCCGCGGCCTCCTGTGGTGCAGTACTTGCTCACCGGTGGAGATAGCCCGCTGGCCCCCCCCTAGTCGGGGGGGGGGTTCCTTCCCGCCCCCCCCCCCCCCCCCCCCCCCCCCCCCCCCCCCCTATGGGTTAGGAGCCTGGGTACTGCTCCCCACACAGAGTAGTCCAGTGGAAAGGCGTAGAGAGGTAGGTAGTGGGAGATATAATGAGAGAAGAATATAGGGTAGTTAAAAAAAAAATAAAAAAATAAAAAAAATGCGAACCCCCCAAAGGGCCCACAACACTAATTCCAATGTTTACACTGTTGGGGACATTATCTTAACACCAAAGAGTGTGGGGAGTCTATGAAACCTTCTAGTACCTCAATTAAAGATAAGCAGCGACAATCTCGCCGGAGGCTGATGATTGTGCCTGAATTAGCAGAGAACTTGCCACACTAGCGTGCACTGTGGTCAGATGTAGAAACAGAGTCCACACTATTGTGCACTGTGATCAGATGCAATCCACTCTATGAGGATTGGTGGCTGATGTCGTTGTTGTGCTTGTATTTGCTCTGTGTTTGCTTGTGTGTGCAGCAGGGCAAGCACTTCCCTGTCCCGTCGCGAAATCATACAGGCCACAACGTCGAGAATGAGTAGAGTCGGGGAACAGTGATGTTGCAAACCGGGAAGCGGTGGTGATGTTGTGGCTCACAAAGAGTTGAAGTGAAGGCTTTTACAAGCTTAACTTCATCTGTGGCTCACAAATAGGCTATAGAGTATCTGAAGGGTTGCTGTGAGAGATCGGTCTGCGGAGGGGCAGGAAGGATAGAAAGCAAGGGTGTAGTACGATGCCCGATAATCCCAGGGCTGATCTGGACCGTTCTTCTCTTCCAGAGGACAGGAAGCAGGAAGAGGAATGCACGACTGGTGTTGACGAGCCACAACAGCAAACACATCAGAAGGGGAATAAGAAGACGCAACAAGAGCTCCAGAGTTGTCTTGGGTGTCTGTTCTTCTCGCAGGGTTTATATCGTGACGGTCGCCAGCCCGTGTGTTTTGGGTTGAAGCGGAAGGAGACAGATTTCGTTGGGTATCGGCCAACAAGGGTGGATGAGGTAGAAAGAAGCGGCAGTAGTGGTGGCCGAGATGGCTCTGTGCAACTTGACTTCCGGTATGTTTGCGTAGGGTACTCCATTTATGGGGATGGAAGAGGAACAGGTGTTACTGGCGTGGAGAGCGACAGAAAGGGGGGGCCGGAGGGTACAGTTGTTGCCGGAGGATACGGCGAGGCGAAGGCGGGTGCTGCAGCTTATCTTCCCCTCTGCTCTGGTAGTGAGATTCTTCTCGAGAAGAGAGCAGAGCTCCACCCACAGCAGCAGCAGCACCTCCAGAAGAAGCGGGGTGAAGACCAGAAGAATGAAGGTCTAATTGAGGCGACGCCTGACTCTTCATCGACACCCGGCAATCTTGATGATGAAGATGGTTTCATCGTCAAGGAGAGCAAGCGGCCTTCTTCTCGCCCCCTGTTACCGATCATCCGCCCGGGTGTGGGTGTCGGTACAATCCCTGTGGACGAGTTTGCAGGGAGGTTCTTGCGGTCTGCGGGTCTTATTGCAGCACGCGTTGTGACAAATATGTCAAAGGTGGCTGGTGCAGTCAAAGCAGGTGTTGACGACATATTCTACCCTGACCGTGGGAGGTCCAAATGAGTGGGGTAGTCTGTCGGAAAAGGTGTGGGTAAGTCGTCGTTCTTAGGAAGCAGTGATTGTTGGTTAAGGCTTACTGTCAGTGTTGCAGGCGTTGGAGTGGTTTTCATTTCCTGTAGTTGATGTTCAAGTCTGCGAGGAAAGAGGGGAGTGAGTGTGTGTGGAGGAATGGCCATGCTTGGATTCCATTGCCCTCCTTACTTTGGACGATTTCGCTGCAAGAAAAGATGTATTATTGCACTCACGGCGTTGACATCACCTCAGAAAACAACTTGCTAACAAAATAAATTTGCCGTGGTGCGTGCTGGCCGTGAGTGCGCGAGAGGCCGAAGGAAAATGCTCTTGCGAGGACGGCTCGTCAGCAGAGTGGGGCTAAATTTCCACTACTAACGTTGGTCTCGGGGTGGCCCGTGCCTTGTCTGTAGTTTGATCATGCAATCTTTTCCTTCGTCCTGTTCCGCTGGATAGTCATCGAGTGTTGAGGGGAGTAGGTAGAATATTTGTTTGGTCAGTTCTGCTGTGGTTTACAGTGCGGCAGAAGTCAGGGGGGTGGGGGGGTGGGGGAGGGGGGAAGTACTGAAGTAGGACACTTGGTGTTTCTAGAAAGTAGTGATTAGTAGAGGGGGGGGGTTACTGGCTAACGTTGCAAGTTGCGAAGGATTGTCATTTCCGGTACTTCTATCCAATGAATTGAGCAGGAGGGATGAGGGGAGGAAGTGTGTGGGGATGGATGAATGGCCATGCTGGGATTCCATTTGCCCTCCTTAGTGCACTTGATTTCACTGGAAGAGCAGCTGCTTCCTTTTGCAGTTCCTTATCTGTAGGAGTATGGTGTAATCATTAAACTCTCTTCCTTTTCTATTGCATAAGCTATTGTGGGCAGGGAGAGCATATTTTTTTTGGTGTGAATTCTACCATAGTTTTACAGCGGCACACGTGCGGTTGGGGAAGCACTGAAGGAAGGCGATTAGAGTATGAATGAAAAGCAGAGGGGAGGAAAGAGAGCCAGAGCAGGAGGAATAGAGAGATATTAGGGTGGGGGGGGAGCAGGTGCAATTCTGAAAGGGGGAAGGAAGCTTGCTAGCTTGTGTCCCCGCCGAGGGCGTGTGTGGGAAAGTGAGGAAAAATATGGAAACCGGAGGAGTAATCTTCGAATACAATTCGTCGACCCCACTTTAGCATCGGCATCATTATTTCTGGTGTTCATACTTCCACCTCTCCATTGCCAAGGGTGAAAACATACACTGAGCGGAGGGGCTGGAAGGGAAAGGTTGTCTTTGCCAACTTCACGATTCCTCGTGCCAGTACGATTGAGCGACACATGCATGTCACACAATGCTATGTACACAGTCTTTATGTGTTTGTCTGTTTGAGGGTTGTCCATCTTATATTTGCTCATTGTTTACGGGTGCGCCCACGCACTTGTGCGCGCGCGCAGGTGTGTGTGTGTGTGTGTGTGTGGGTGTGTGTGTGTGTGTGTGTGCGCAAAGTACTGACAAAGGGTAGCCTACATCTACACTCTGTCATACAAGGTTCAATTGTTTCGAGGTGTGTGTTTTGGGGCATTAGAGGGGCACTGTTATTATTCTTTCACATCGAGGTGGAGTAGAACAGTGTGATTCTGTTGCAATGATTGTTATGATGTTCCCGATATCAAAATCAGAAGAGTGTCACTTAATTGTGGGGATTGCTATGTTACAGACTTATACAACACTAAAGTGAGACAGTTTCATTTTACTACAGGGACATCAAAGTGCAGTAGTTCTATTGTGACACAGGGACCATTTACTGTGAAAGTCTAACAATGTTGCAATTGTGCCACACGTAGTGTCGCCTCATGGTTATGGTTCTATCGTGTCGCGAGGGGGATTTGTTGTCGCCATGATTTGTTGTTGTGATGGAACAATAACCTCTGCATGCTTACCAGAGGATATCCATGCTGGCTAAATCTGTTCAATCCTTCTATGTCCTAATAACTTATGGACTTTGTCATGAACTGTTCTGGTGGTCAGTTACTAAACTATTCACATGGCGGGGTAGTGTACGCTGTATTTCGTGGAACGTGTTGTGCATGCCGAGAGATGGTATTTCGTGCAGTTCGTCCCATAACTAAAGACCAGAATGAACAAACACTATTGAACTGTTCTGGTGGTCGGTTACTAAACTATTCACGTGGCGGGGGAGTGTACGCTGTATTTCGTGGAATGTGTTGCGCATGTCGAGAGACGGTATTTCGTGCAGTTTGTCCCATAACTAAAGACCAGAATGAACAAACACTATGCATATACATACATAGTATTTAGTATTTATGTAATGGACTGATTTGTCTTGTCACTTGTATGCTTTACCATGTGCGCTAGTTCACATTGTAACCATAAGTCGGAGCATTGTTTTTTGTATTTTGTACCATAACTAAACACCAGAATGGATAGATGCTGTTACACTCGGCTAAAGGCGTCATTGTGTCTGCCACAGTCACTACAATGCCAGGGTTTCTGCATATGCTGTGCACAATGCCACGCATGAGTGTGGGATTGTGCAGAGCGCTGCCCTCCTTTCCTGACCCCTTGCACCCTCTGCATCCAGACATCATAGGTCCATTTCCCGGCCAGGGACGTTATAAATTATAACGAAAGCATTGCCTTTCTGTGATTCCCGTTCTTCCTTTCTGTTGGGCTGCAACTGGCGTGCCATCTGTTCGGACTCCGGAGTGTTTGGTGGGCACGCTTAATCCCAGCCGCTGTGACAACTGTTTAGCTGAAGCGCATGCACGCACGTCGCACACACACCGTATTTGGTCTACCGACGTGCTGCTGGATGTACCCCTGGGGTCTGTCATAGTGAGGAGGAGCAGAGGCCTAAGAGTGCCTTCTCGGACTGCAGCTATTGGCGCCCACATCATTTTCCCTGCTTATAATCTCATCCTACCACATTTTCTCTACGTCTCTCTCCCCACTCTCCCATTCTCCATTCTTTTTGCGAGTACCAGAGCAGCTTCTGGATGATCACTGCCCTTCTTTTTCTAAGCATTTGGTATTGAGTTGGTTTTACAACAGGTGCTGGGTGCGGTGCTGAAAGCCTGAAATTTAGCTCAGCCAAATTATGAACGAAATCCGACGAATGAAAAAAAGAAAAACATGTTAAACAAATGACACATAAACTGTGGGAGCCGGCCCTTGGGGGGCGCATGCTGTTCCTTAGCAGGAAGGCCAGTGGGAGCGACGAGGCTGTAGGAGCCGTACCGATCGAGCTCATACCTCGTGTTTGAGAGGTGTAGGCGAGGAGCAGAAGGGGTAGTGATATAGTTAGCATGTGCCGCACGGAGAGTGGTGAGTCAGCGGTTGCAGGGGTGCATATGCAGGGTGAGGAATCATGGAAGACGGAGGTTGTGCTGTCACCCTGGTGGTTTGGGCGGGAAGAGTTGTGGTACAGGTCTGCAGCTTGCTGTGTTCGGAGTCGCCTTACGTTCGTCTCAGGCAGGCTAGGTGTACTATGGGTCTGGTTGTGGGGATGGCACGGTGTTCTGAGTTGTAGGTGGCTAATTCGTCTTCTTTTTCCTTTGTCTGCCATGGGCGGGTTTGTCATGCAAGGCTGGCATAGCTGTTGACGTTGTCGGCGTGATATGGAGTACTTAAGTTAAGTTATGTTGTGTTTCGGGTGGTGTTTGTGTCTTTTCAGTGGAATTGAAGTTCTGCATTTTCTGGGGTGGGTCGTGCCACTCTGTAACCTAGCAGTTGGGGGCATGAGGTCTGGTACAGATTGGGCATCGGGATATAGTGGTGAGGCAGGTAGGGTTGGGCTGCTGAAAGGCCCTAAGGCAGGTGTTTCTTTCGTTCAGAATGTTTCTTTGATCCGAGCTTTGGGGGACACAGAATTTCAGTGTTCTTGTGTAGATTACACAGTTGTCTTTCGTAGCCGAAGCCGGGTAATGGCCCCGGTATCTCAAGGATTTCTCCATAAATTTCTCATTTTTCCAATGTGATCTTGAACGGGACGCTGGGCCAGGTTCCCAGTACGTGCTGCTCCCCACGAATAGATTGGAGCATGTCCCTCTGTTTAAAAAAAAAAAAAAGAAAAAAAAGAAAAGAAAGTTCTGCATTTCTTCTTTATCCTTTTTTTTGGCGTTTTTTTTTTTTTTCAGTGTTGAGGTTGGGGCGCTGTCTCGTTGTCCTAGTGGACACTACTGGTTGGTCCCTTGTTTTTTGTAATTTAGTAAATTTTTGTTGAAGAGGTATCTAAGGGCATGTTTCAATTCAGGGTCATTTATTTGCTTCCTCTTTTTTTGGGGGTTGGGCGTGAATTTGAAAAGAAGAGGGGGTCTGTATGTTTCTTTTGAGTGATGGGTGGTGGGTCTGGGTTATGAGGTCGCATCTGGTTACGTGTATTTGTGTGTCCGGGCTATTCTGCTTGGGCAATTTGGTTGGATTTTTTTGGAGTGATTATATTTTAAGTGTGGGTAGGGGGGATTTTTTGGGGGGCTTGTATGATAGTGTGTTGTAGGTAGGGTGGGTGCTAATGCCGTGGGAAGTGTAAGGTGGGTGGGGCCAGTGTTTTTAATGATCGAGCTTGGTTAAACGTGGGTGAGTTTTTGGTTATTTCTACTGTGTTAGTTATCGGCTTAGGTTAGGGGTATTTTTGGGGGGGGTGTCCTAGAGTGCTGGTATTTTTTTTTTTATTTTTTTTTAAGGCCCTTGCGCAAGACCTCTATCCTGGTGGTGGTAGGAGAACCACCGGGATTGAGGCTTTGCCTAGCGGGCCGCTCCATCTATTGGTGGGGAGCAGCACCTGCTGGAAACCGGGTCCAGCGTCCCTTAAATACATCTTTGCAAAACAATACATCAATGCTGCAGTGACGCCAATGTGCTGGAAACCGGGTCCAGCGTCCCATATTCAATCTACTCTTCCCTACCTAGCCTGCCCCACATCGTATGTGTATGTATATGTATATGTTTGTTTGTGTGTGTGTGTGTGTGTTTATGTGTGTGTCTTGTTTGTGTTTGTGTGTTATTATAACTTATGAGTGAAGATATGTTGGCGAGTTTATATGTTTGAATATGTGTGTGTGTGTGTGTGTGTGTGTGTGTGTGTGTGTGCACGACTCAGAAGAATTGTGACCAGGCTATTGGTGTTCAGAGAGAAGAGCGTAGAGTTGCATTCCCACATACAGTGATAGCTGTCCCAGAGGAGAACTGTATTGGATGGCACAGTCTTTGTTCTGTCCTCTAGGGGATATAAGAAGCATGAAGATAAAAAAGTTAGTGCAACTCTAGTGCAAACACTAGAGTTGCCTGCATGCACACATGCAGTTAAGAGAGAGACAACAGTGCTGATTGGTCCTCTCTATGCCATGTGGAACTTTACGAGCCTGAGAAATGGATCAAGCACACGGACACGGGCATCAGCCTCGCCGGGTTACCTGAAATCCTCTGGCCGAGAATACTGGCGATTAAGCATGTGTCGTATGAACGTTGTCCATGGTACATGCACAGCTTGAACAATGTCTAAACTCCGTTGCAGTTCTAAAGCTGATCTTGAATACGCATACCAGATGCCCAGATGCCCAGATGCGGCTTCTCCCGCAATAGAAACAGAAAAAACGAAAGAAAAAGGTGTGGCCATCCATGCCATCATCGTGCACACGACACTTGTCTTCTCCTCATTCACACTCGCAACCATCCTGCTCATCATCTCATACATGCTCCTGTGGATGTATTTGTTGTCATATTCGCTATACACAACTGTGAAACAACTATACTTGTATCGCAAACAACATCGAGCACAACAAAACCGTTACATTGCCTTTTCCTTGTACAGTCTTCTCTTCACTTCCTTTACTTTGGCCTTTTTTTTTTTTTTTTTTTTTTTTTTTTTTTTTTTTTTTTTTTTTTTTTTTTTTTTTTTTTTTTTAATTGTCCCTTCTATTCTGGGGGGCTCAGTCCGGTTGCTCATCACCGGCATCTGAAGCCCATATCTGGTTCCAGCCTATTCCCCTGTAGTTACATGTCCACCTCTACCTAACTGTTCTCATTCAGAACGTGTTTCATCTATACAAACCATAATAGGCCCTCCTACCATCGCACATATGCATCCAGATCATGTTCCGCTTATCCCTAACATTTATACAAGCCATAATAGGCCACAGTCCTTTTTTTTTTTTTTGGGACAAATGCTCCAGTCTATTCGTGGGGAGCAACACGTGCTGGGAACCGGGCCCAGCGTCCCATATAGGATTACACAAGTCATTTAAGATACCGGGGCCATTACCTGGCTTCGGCTGAGAATCAATCTAAGAACTATTGAGAACTATTGAAGAAATTCAAGAGGATTAAAAAGAGGTTGAAAAACTATGAATGACAACTGACCTCTTTTCAAATGTTCCAAACCCCTAGACTACCAAACAAAACTCTCTAAAACTGTCCAACGCTGTAGGCCACAGTCCACCCACTTATTTTAGTATGTTTCATGTTTTCCATCTTTCTACGACTTCTTTTAGTATCTCCCGTCCACCCCTTGGTCCCCTCACCACCCCATTTCCCCATACTTCTTCAATTCCCTTTACTACCCTCTCCCCCTAGCCCCGTAGTCCCCCCTACACCTTCCCCTGACCCCCCCTCCCTCCTAATGTCACCCTATCCTCTATACTAATTCTGGTGTCCACCGGGTGTCATCACACCCCCTACTCATCTAACTACTTTACAAATCGGTTAACTGCCTTTCCTATTTCCTTCCCCAGGCTCGTCCTCCTCCACGAACCGAGGCACTTGTCGCAACAGGCGGGGCTGAACTGCATATGGCCTGTACATGGATCTCGCATAATCAGTTGCAGCTATGGGCCCCATCTCGCCCAGAAGCCTTCCACCTTCTGCGATCCTAAATGGTTGCATCTATGCAGGTCCGCCTGAAGCGCAGTTCTGATACATTCCAAAGCCCTTTCCTTATATGCCTGCAGAGA